GCTAGTAGTAACAGGTGCCTTACTAGTAGTAACAAGAAGCTACTAGGCTTTTCTTTCATCAAACTTTTATCTGAGGACCAAACACGAGGTCCAATGTTGCACGCCTTGGAGGTTGGACTGTGACCATCCGCTTGGATTGCAGAGTGAAAGACCTAAGGTGAGTTGAAGACCTACTAGGTTGGGGGCCATCGCCCTTAGGTTGAAGGCCATGGCTATTGGGTTTTAGAGGTTGGAGGCCATCGCTAGTAGGTTGGAGGCCATTGCTTCTAGGTTGGGGACCATCGCTCTCAGGTTGGAGGACATCGCTCTTAGGTTGGAGGCCAGGGCTCTTAGGTGTTGGAGGCTAATTGCTATTAGTAGGTTGGAGGCCATCGCTACTAAGTTGGAGGTTATTCCTATTAGGTATTCTCAAAACTAGTTTGATCAACAAGATGAGTTGAAAACCTAAGGCAAGCATAGTCGCATGAGTCGTATGGGCAAAACGACATCATAGTCGATGTTTTGTCGGGCAAAGCCTTGTTGAGCCGAAGGTAGACCAGTTGAAGTCTAACCACAAAATACTTACATAATTAGTAGCGATGGCCTCCACCTCCAACCTAATAGCGATGGCCTCCAACCTAATGATGAATTACTAGCAGCGCAGCATTTTTGTCAAGGAGTAGTGGAGTCACTGCGAGCGAGGACCGCTTTGGAGGCCTTGCTCAAATAATTTTGTGTGAGTTTTGAAAACTTTTCCGTGTCACCAAGCTGGTAGTTTTGTTTCCTTTGAAGCCTTCAAAAAGCATTCTGGCGTGTAGTAGTGAGGAGGTTGAGTCCAAGACCAATAAACTGAAGAAGCATTCTCGAGAATGAAAACAACCGAAATGGAACACGCCCAAAACCCCAAAGGCATCCACAGGCAGAAATAACCCGTCTGAGCAAGCCAAGGGTCTGGTCTGTCGAAAAAACAAAAAAAACACAATACATATTTCTTTATTAATTTATATGTAAAACAATCTAACCTGCTAGCGATGGCCTCCACCCTAATAGGGATGGCCTCGACCTTGGTAGCGATGGCCTCCAACCTAATAATGACGGCCTCCAACCTACTAGCGATGGCCTCCACAATACTAGCGATGGCCTCCAACCTAATAGCGATGGCCTTCAACCTAGAGCATGCCGGCTTTCTTATCAGTTATTTATAGCAAAAACGACAGTCAAAGAAAAAAGTAGCAAGAAAGGACACACGGAAGAGAACGCATTGCAAACAAAGACGTTCTTGTCGCTAGACATGGGTATCAAGTCAACACCTATGCACTTCACATCTTACTGGTGTGTAGATGCCAAGATATGCCAAGTTGCTGTGCAAAAAGCAAATGTAATGCCCGGAAAAGCACCTCCCATGGCCTGAGGGGAGGCAGCTGTTCATGTCAGGAAACATGCAAACGACATGCATTTCTGCAACGAAAACGACAGGAAAAAGGAAGGACAAAACAAGGTGAAAACAAAAAGGTCTAAAGGAGAAAGAACAGTTTCTTTCTTTCTTTCTTTCTCTCTTTCGTTCTCTCTGTCGCAGCCCCCGGCAATCGCAAATCCTATCCATTCCATGATCTCGCCAAAAAAATTGGCACCTTGAGCTGGGTGAACATGGAATTCTCTGTTGTGCAGAAAGGGTCTCTGGTGACTCTTGCGTTTCTTTTAGTGCCAAAGGTAAAGCCTCTGACCTGATACGTAATCGAACAAGCCCCCGCGAGGGATCTTGTACCTGAACAGACGAACAACCAGGTGCGGCAATCAGCCGGCGGCGCAGGCGCACCCCGTCTCGCCAGGCTTCCTGGAATAAAGAGAACCACATGTGGCACAGCGATGCAAACAGCAATCTAAGAGGGATGGCCTGCAACCTAAGAGTGATGGCCTCCAACCTAAGAGCGATGGCCTGCAACCTAAGAGTGATGGCCTTCAACCTAAGAGCGATGGCCTGCAACCTAAGCGGGATGGCCTCCAACCTAAGAGCAATGGCCTCCAACCTAAGAGCGATGGCCTGCAACCTAAGAGGGATGGCCTCCAACCTAATGGCGATGGCCTCCAATCTCATAGCCATGGCCTCCAACCTAGGAGCGATGGCCTCCAACATAAGAGCGATGGCCTCCAACCTCAGAGCGATAGCCTCCAACCTAAGCGGGATGGCCTCCAACCTAGGAGCGATGGCCTCCAACCTAGGAGCGATGGCCTCCAAGATGTCTTCGTTTGCTCAGACATTGAGGAAACTAGTTTCTTCTCTTTTCCTTTGTTACTAGTAGCTTCTTGTTCCTAGTAGAACTGCCCTTTGCTCCTAGTAGCGTCCTTGCTCCTAGTAGCGATGCCAGGAGCCCCTAGTAGCTTCTTGTTACTAAATAAGTAGCTTCAAAACACCAAAGACAATGTGCAAGGACGACGTGAGTTCAATGCTTTCGTATTTCCGACACGCCTGCCCCCCCCCCACATGAATAAGTCTGTAAATATGTAAATAGTTGTAAATAGAACATCTGAGCAACTCGGTTGCAACATTTGTGCAAGAAGGTGAAGTGTTGAACTATGCAGAATTTACATTCAAATGCACAGGCGTCAAATGGCCTCAGATTCCTCAAGCGCTGGTCTGCGTCCACATTGATGTACCTACCAATCCACCCTCCGCCGCTTGGATATGGAATCAGTCCGTGTGGGCACAAGCCAGTCATCCATATGCAAATGCCCAAACACGTCCTTGAATTCGGAAAAACGTCTCTGTTGGGCCAACTGCTACTAGGGGCTCAAGGGCATCGCTACTAGGGGCTCCTGGCACCGCTACTAGGAGCAAGGACGCTACTAGGGGCTCCTGGCCGCACTACTAGGAGCAAGTAGCTACTAGTAGCAAGAATTCTCTTAGGGGGAGGCCATCGCTAGTAGCTTGGAGGCCATTCAAGAGTGTTTCACTCTCTTCTTACTTCTGATATCGGGCTGCTGACATCCAGTTCACAGGGATGAGTAAATACCTCCAGCAATTAGACTTTCACATGATTTCACTATCAATGTAAACAATCCTGACTATGTTTCACTTGTTTGCCCGCCTTCAAACTGAAGGAATGTTGTCTCTTACGACTTACTTCTTCGCAGGTGACCATGAGTTGAAAACACGAGTTACTGACAGTTTGGATCTAAACCCAACTTCGAGATCTTGCATCTTTCAAGCTCACCATGCAAACGCTTCTGGAAAATCCCTTTGGCCTCATTAGACTTTGGCATTGAATGTATCCATTGACGGCACAAAACCTGGAGAGGCATTACATGGCATTACTAATAGCTTCTAGCTACTAGTAGTAAGGCCCTTGTTCCTAGTAGCGATGCCCTTTGCTCCTAGTAGCTTCTTGTTCCTAGTAGTAAGGCCCTTGTTCCTAGTAGCGATGCCCTTGTTACTAGTCAGAAAACATGTCAGAATCATCAGACCAGGAACGTCATGGCCATCATCATCACTGGCAATGGAAAGGGCTTGGAACCCTTCCTTAAGCACATGAAAAGTAACAATGCGAACAAAAGCAACGAACGATCAAGCATCTGCATTTGCATCTCTTTTCATCCGATTTGAGTTCCTGGCATTTGCAAAGGATAAACGAATGATCGGTTAACCTCAGTTAACAAACAAGATTCTTGAAGACTTGCCACAACAAATCCGATCATATCGGCCACAAATTGAGCCACCGACATAATGCACCACAAAACATAGGAGCACTGCAAGGTTGCCAGGACCTAGGGACAACTTGATGCCAATCCCACTCACCAGTCCAAGAGCATATTGAAAGGCTTTTTCAAGCTGTACACCCAACAAGAACCACTTCTTCTGTAAGAATCTCATTTCATCTCCAGTACTCATCGCATCAGCTTAGAATGGCTCAGGTGCTGGCTGCTTCGACAAGCCTGCGACAAGCTGAAGCGAAAGGGACAACCATCATGTCTCGCCTTTGAGATCTTCGACCTTTCCAAGAGTTTGCTCTAGGTTGGAGGCCATCGCTCTTAGGTTGGAGGGCATCGCGCTGAGGTTGGAGGCCATCGCGCTGAGGTTGGAGGCCATCCATTAGACACAAAGGAAACAATAGCATTGTCCAAAAGTTGGGCTCTTTGCCCTCAGGTGCGAGAAGCTTCATTACTCTCATAACACCCATCTAATTAAATTCTATAGCTTCTCATTGTTTCAACCTAGTAGCTTCTTGTTCCTAGTAGTAAGGCCCTTGCTCCTAGTAGTAAGGCCAGGAGCCCCTAGTAGCTTCATTAGGACTCTCATAACACCCATCCAAAATTGTTTCCTTCCGAGAGATTGTCGTCATGTCAGTTTTCTGGGACAGCTTATTAGTCTGCGCCTGGCTGCCGAAAAGCCATGAAAGGCACGCTGCCACAAGGGTGGGACCTTGCAAAGACAGAACACCTGAGTTCTCCATCCTACACCTGTCAAGTTGTCAAACCTTCAAAACAAAAACAAGGAAAAACATCTAAAGAAAGAAAACATGCATCTAATGATCAACCATGTCTTTATTTCCAAACTCCGTAGGAAAAACCATAAGACGGTCTCAGTATGTATGTTCAACCATCTCCGGGATTGGGACTCTCTTGCAGAACCCAGGCCTCATCAAGTCTGCGCTATTGAAGGTCTACGGGTAGTTTAAATGTCACATGTCATGTTCGCTACAAGGAACAAGTGCATCGCTTCTAGTAACAAGTGCCTTACTAGTAGTAACAATATTCGCTACTAGGAACAAGTATATCCCTTGTCGCTTCCTTGAGGCTCCACAATCGCAGTCTTAGTAGCTAAATGTCCTTTAAGTTGTAGGAACCAAATGAATAGTGTGAGCTGTCCTGCCTACCTAGGACCTAGGAGCGTCCAAAAAAAGAAACCACCCTAAGAGCAGCTCCACTTTTGCATTCACATTGCATGACGCCAGGAGGCGGAGCAAGGGACCTGAAAGCGATCGCAGGAAGAGACATCGAAGGATTGGAGTTCGGCTCCACACTTCTTGCTTCATCGCCTTGACACAGTGTGTGCAAGCAGAAAACTGTTTCACCTTCCGCCCTCAAGGTTTCAATGAACTCCAACTTGCAAACCATGCTCGTTCGACTTGGCCTTGGTTGTAGCGGCCATAAGGTGATTTCACCTTGAAAGCGCTAAGCTGAGCATCCCAATCCCATGGTCATCTGGACTTAAGGAACGAAAGAAAAAAGATAAACATAGATAAACATGCTGTACTTCCAGTGATCCCCACCATGACACTTCAATCCCTTGTTTTCCTGCCATTGTGAAGGGCATGTTTCCACGGTCAGGGGTTTTCTGCTTTTCGATATTGTTATTTTAGTGTTCGGGACTTCGCGTCGGGGTGTTGCCAGGGTCTCCAGTTGGCATCAAAATGTGCAAGCCTGTGACCACCTGCCACACAAAATGCCACACACACACAGAGAAAACAACTATATTGTTGTGGTTGTCTGTTTGTGGTTACTGGTGGTTGTTTGTTGTGGTTGTATGTTTGTGTGTTGTGGGTGTGTGTTTCCTGGCTGTGTGGTTGCTTGCGTGTTTGTTTGTGTTTTTGTGGTTGTTCGTTGTGGTTGTATTTGTGGTTGCATTTGTGGTTGGGTTCGTTGTTGTGTATGCGCTTGCTGTTGAGGTCCGGGAGTGCTCACTGTGCTCTGGCCTTTGTTGTGAGGCGAGGAGGAAGAGCAGCGCGAGAAGAGGAGTTGCTGCATCTCTCAAAAATCGACCAACCCTCACCTGACAGGCGGGGCAAAAAGGGCCACGAATTGTTTTAAAGGTCTCAAGAAAAGGGACAAAAAGAGAAGACAAAATAAGAAAACACTATTGTTCAACGCACAAATCGACAGGTCTAAAGAAAACAAATCTAAAGGTCGCCAGGACCTCAAGGACCTGAAGGACCGCCCATGGCCATCTGAACCCAAGGAAAACAGCGGAAAGCAACGACGAGACATTTGTGAGTCTTTTCACCTGTCGTGCTTGCGACCTTCAGGGCAAGATTTGCTGCATCTTCCTGGTTCCGTCAGGATGCAGTTAAAACTCATTGGAAAGGCCAAAGACTGAACTGCGAAGAAACCACATTGTTTTATCCAGTGGCCTCCAATATGGTCGTTGCTGGTACCTTTTCCATCAAACCGGCTACTCAGTAGATACTCCAAGCTTGAAGCTTGATACCCCGTTTGTCTTCCAATCTCTTTGGTGTAATGCTTTGCTTGTATCCCTGATGCACAAGGTGCTATGGTGACAAACAACTGCTGAGGAATGGCTGTAAAAAAGGGTTGTTTGATTCCTGCTCATTCCCGTATTGTGCAAAGCTTTGGCACAAAAGACGTTCTGCAAAAAAGGAGTGCCTGATAGTGGTGAGACATGATGGAGAACAGAATGGAGAGGAACCGGAGAAAAGGTAGGAACAACACACGGCTTCCGCCATGTGCACATATGGAATGCGTTTAAGTACCCCTTACAAATAAACTGATAGCGATGGCCTCCAACCTACTAGCTGGCTTCCAACCTAGAAGGGATGACCTTCAACCCAGGTTCAAGTACCTCTTACAAAGAATACTTCAACATCTCTCTTCCAACTTTAGCATTTCTCCCGGAGTTTAAGCTGTTTAGCTTTTTGACTCTGGCCTGGAGGACATTGGGCCTCTAAACCGGAGAACTCGACAGCCGCACGTTTGCAGGGCTGGAGCTGTGGAAAACGTTTCGGGGAGCCACGTCTCCGAAAGGGATTTCGCACGCGCACCATCAGTCAAATGAGGGTTGCGGATTCGAAGTTGAACAAAAACGGTTCTAGACTTCAAGGTGCTCTCTTCCAAAGACTTGAAGACTTGTCGTCCAAAAACCATGGTCGCGACCCCTCAGTACTTCAAAAAAGCACTAGAGCCTCTCGAGAGGAAAGCTTGGCTGAATTCTGGTGCAAGCGTGGCTGAACAGGGCAAAGGGCAAGAATACCTTGGCCCTTGCTGTTCAGGCTGATTAAGACTTGTAATCGGTGTTGGAAAACATCTTTGAAGACACTAGTCACTACACGACAACATGTGTCTGAACAACTACATAAAGCATCGGCTTTTGAGTGATCTGGCACAGGCAGGTGGGCCTGGGTAGTCTTTGACCCAGTGAAAGAGCTTCTACCTTCACCAGACTTCAATTTTTGAAGTGGAAAAACACATAAAAGGTCGTTCACGTTCATTTGTGCATTGCTACTAGCAACAAGAAGCTACTAGGAGCAAAGCCGAAGCGTTTCATACGCATCGTTCACCGTTCACCGTTCATGTTGCTCTCATGTCATCATGTCATGTGTCTCTTATCTTCATAGAGCTTGCAAACTGCCGCCTTAGGGACTTTGTTGCTGACTTTTACCTTGAGTTGTGATGTGTAAACAAACTGAACACAGAAAAAAACACCGAGGTTTTGCTGCACATCTGGTCGCTATGGCCGCGTGTTGGACACTCTCTTACTACCAAGAAGACTTCTAAACTCAACTTTCAGGTCGAAGGAGGGGTGCAGGTCATAGTCGTTTTGAGTGAAGTCGAGCAATGATTGGATTCTTAGGCTTACTTGACTCATGAACTTACGTTGAGATTGAGTTAACATCTATTTAATCATGTTTACATGTCTTTTGTCCCCACAAGAAAGCTTTGGTCTTGAGAGTCTGGCTTTAGAGGGGTTTAGGCTTTAGAGGCCGCTACTAGGTTGGAGGAGTCTGGCTTTAGAGAGGTTTTGGGTGGTCACGTTGCTTGAAGCCTGGCACTCACACCGCCGCCGTACCCTGCGCTGATGACGAAGCTGGTCGGCCGAACATGCCTCAGAAACCGCTTGACTTGTCAGAAGCAAGGAATGAAAGTGTGAAAAGGGAACAAAAACAGGGAATGAAAGTGTTAAACAGCATTTTGGCAGCTTTAAGTTGAGCTTTCCCTAAAAATCGAACCAAATGAGTAGCGAGCTCTCCTGCGTCCTACCAATGATGAATTTGTAGCTAATAGCTACCTCTCTTCTACTGGCTACCTTGGCCTACCCCCTCCCCCCAGGCTAAAAAAGAGGAAAAGAAAAACACGTCGAAAGAAAAGAAAAATAAAGCTTTGCATGTTTTCTAATAGCTTCTTGTTACTAGCTTATAATACAATAAAGAAAAATAATGTCTCTCGAGAACCTCCTCGACCTCGTTTTCCAAAGCCTTTCTATCGAGGAATGCAAGACGCACCATCAGTGCAAGTGAAACACAGGCTGTTGTTCAGAACGTAAGTCACTGCTACTGTTGACAGAAGGTAACAGCTTTCTGCTTGATTTCCTTCTTACAAGAAGCTACTAGTAACAAGTGCCACGCTAGTAGTAACAGGTGCCTTACTAGTAGTAACAAGGTTCGCTATTAGAAAACATTCTTTCCTTTCTTTTTAGACCTCACTTAGAGGCTGTTGCACTTCTTGCCATGTCGCCTGTCCGTAACCAGTCGCTGGCCACGGACCATCGGTTTCGACTCGAGAAGAGCTTGCCTCGAGAAAAGAGCGGATGGCCATCGAAGCTGCTAGGAACAAGTGCATCGCTACTAGGAACAAGTGCCTTACTAGTAGT